CCACCTTTTAGTCTGTGCTTGATTGTATATGTTCATTCCAATTTTGTGTGTTTGCAAGTAAAGGTTCATAAAATCTATACCAATCTGAGATTAACTACTTAATCAGGAAAATTTTAGGAATGTTATGAGATACAAAAAGAGTTGACCTTTAGGTCGATTATGTAGAACTAACCTTTCCCAATAAAAGAATTTTGGTCATATTGTCGAAATTTTGTAAGTGTTGGCAAAAGCCATGGAATTGGATATTGTAATGAATTGTGATCTGCTTTTCTGATTTGATTGATTTTCAGCAGAGGTATCCAAAAACTGATATAGTAATGCATACAAAATTTCCCACAAAGTGCATGAATTGAAAATTTTGTTTAGCGATTCAATCTGTTTTGTAGTCATTCCCTTTATAACAGCCACTTGTTTGGAATGGACAGTCAGACTCTTTACACTCTGGTTCCATATCATTTGGGAGGTTCGAAAATGAAGCGTTATCTTGGGAAAAGAGATCATCTTTCTCACATAACAGATATGTTGAAGAGGTTGAAAAATGCTTGAAACCAGGTTCAGTTATTAAGAAGAAAGCTTACTTTGAAGCTCATTTCAAAAAGAAGGGTCTTCCCAAACCAAATTTACCCGAGTGTCATCATGGTACTGATTATCAAGTCTGTGAAAATGATGTCTTGGAGAGTGGTGCTTACAGGGAAGAATTTGAACATGGAAATGAAGGCAGCAGTTATGCTCAATTTGATGAGAGCCCGGATGGTTCAGAATATCATGGAGACTGTAGTGTTGTGACCGAATGTGAAAAAGAAGATCCTGAAGTTTTATTGTCTAGTCCTCAGAAGGTATCTTCCTTAAAGGATGATGATATTTTGGTCGATGGTGCTGTTGAAGATGCAAATTCTGAGGAAACACATCAACCTGGAAAGGATTGTGACAAGTTTTCTTCAACTATTGATGAACCAGAGACTGATGTAAATAAGAATCATAATGGTGATGCAGCGAATGCTGATGAATCTTCTAACCCTGTTAATATATGCCCCAAGACTGAAGCAGCTAAGAAAGTTGATAGCACTATTGTAGAAACTTGGCAAAGTGCTTCTCCAAAGGTTTGGGCTCCTAAGAATACTTTCATCATAATAAGACATTTTTCTTTAGTTAGTAATAGTATTTACTATAGACTCTGTTGCATTAAAATCTAGATGTAATTATATCTGACGAAAAACAATATAGATATAATTATAACGTTATAGCATCTAGATATGTGCTTCCGGACTTACTTTCCTTTTGTTGTTTGAGAACCAATGCTATGTTGCTTATACTCCTTGTGTCCTATCTAGTTGAAGGATGCAAAAGAATCCAAAACTTCCAAGCCCAGAGTCAATTCTAAGGCCAACATTTCTCAGGTCCAGAGAAGCATTTCTTCTGAGGCATCTAAAGATCCTACAAAGAATTCTAATACAAGAGAAAGAGAGGGCACACGGAGAACGGATAAAGAAAAGCTGTCATCAAAAACTGCCATTCCATCAACACATTCTGGACGCAGAACTTCAAAATTAGAGGTAAGCATTGTTCATGATACGTATTTACCACTAAAATGCCAAAATATGATAAAGGTATTTCATGTCCTCGTATTTATGATGTTCTTCACCCTCTAAATGGTGTGCTATATACATATTAGTTTCCCAATAATGGTATGCCTTTGGATACTGCAATCCTTTATTTATTATTTATCATTGCATTTCTCTTTTTTTCTTCCACACAGGAGTCTGGAGATCTGAAGGGAAAATCTGTTCATGAGAGTACAAGGTATATACTGTTTTTTGTAAGTAGAAATCCTGCATGCTTTATTGAATGGAACCTCATATATCCTTCTTACATTGTTGTAGTGATAAAGAGTCACGAGGCAAGAAACTTGATGAACCTCAACCTCCGGCATTCAAGCCTGACTCCAGAAGATGCCAAACAGCAAACAGGTATATTAACATTTCTTATTCAATGCTATTAGATGTTTCTATCTCTCGAACTGTTGAATTTTGATGGAGATCATCTTTCCCTTTTCCTTTCTCATATAGGCTTAACCACAGAGTCAATTTGACCAAGTCTGATACGAGATCAAGTGTTGCAACTTTCAATTTCAAAAGTTCTGAACGAGCAGAAAGGAGGAAAGAGGCAAGCCAGCATGTATTTTTCTGAATTTGCAGTTCCTTTAGATTTTGGGTTTAGATTTATATGGCTTACAACATTGAAGTGACTTGTTCCTTCGTCCTTGTGGCTCATACAATCCAGTTTTCCATGAAGTTGGAAGAAAAAATGCACGCTAAGGAAGATGAGAAGAGTAAGATCCAAGCAAGAAAGCAGGTCAAGAAATTATTCAATTACTATCTTCTGTATATAATGCTGAATTATTCGACAATTTCAGTGTTGGATGCATTAGTATATGTTGAAAAAGATAATTATGTTTTTCAAATGATTAGAATGCTATGTTATGCTTGGTACAATGATGCAGATGTTGTGGGTCTAATCTATTCCTGGACTTTTGGATGCTAAAGTTTATATAGTTACTCATAAATCAGGCAAATGTTCAATGATAATGCAACTCAAATATTCCTGATTGCATGTTTTCGAAACTTCTCTTAAGAATCTCAATGGGTTCAGGTTACTGTTATGCGGCAGGAAAAGACAGAAGCTGAGATTAAACAATTCCGGAAAAGCCTCAACTTCAAAGCAGCACCAATGCCTTCTTTCTACAATGTAGCTACGACTTCAGGGCCCGATGGAAACAAGGTAAATAGATGTCTTACATTGCATTTTTAAGACAGGAGATAGATTCCAAGTGAATCAATGAGGCCAAGTTTGAATTAGAGCATAAATTCCAATTCACTCGTGAAAACGGATGTAGAATATGTTGTGAGATAGAGAATGACTTGTGGTGTTCTAAATCATGATTAGTTGTTCTATCTTTCAGGCTGCATCTACCAAATTCTCTAAAGTACAAGGCAAGTCAACAAGTCCAGGGAGTGGAGCTGCTACAGGATTGGCCTCACATTCAGAGGTAGGAAAGGATGAAGATCCCACTGCTAATGCTCCTGTAAGCACAACTGAATCACATGATGCCTCAGGAGAAACCAACTTATCCCGAGATACGAAAACAAAAAGTGAAGGCAGCAGGATGAAAGAAAAAGAGAAGGATACTAATGTGCAGAAACAGCGGTTGTTAGAAAGTGGTAAGGTGGCAAAAGGTCAGAAAAGTGAGGGGAAGCAGAAAGCGGGAGGCGAAAGAAATAACAGAGAGATGTCAAGGAAGGGTATGAAAGGCATCGGTTTCGGAAGCAGTTCCAGAATGGGTCATCTAACAGTTGGTGTTGCCTCATGAATGAAGGGTCCTTGTTCCTTTTGTCATCCCATCATCCATAGTATGCTTCAATTTATGGTATTGGTGACAACCATTATTACTATTAGTGATCATCAAAATCAGCTGTTGAGGCTAGCGTTTCCATTTGCTATCACTTTTAGAGTCCCACAGACAGTTTTATCCATGCAAAGCTTGTAACAAAAGCATATAAGCTGAATAGACATAATAATAATGGTTGCGCTGTTTTGAGGGGCTAAAATTGCCTAGGCTAGGCCCACTTGCCACCTTATAAATATGATAAATTATATTATTCATCAGGTAGATTGTAATGAAAGCAAGTTCTCTTTCAATCAAAGTATGTCTCTTTGAAATGGATTAGCGAGTTTGTTGCTGGCACAGAACAGAACAGAGCTTTTCTATGGTCATTCAATTGAAATTCTATCATTTCCCCACCACAAATGTAGAATTTTTGCAATGGCATTGAAATTCAATTGAAATTCTATCATTTCCCGGATGTCTCAAGATTTTCTGCCTTCCCATTAAATAATATGACAAGTCACAGTCTCATGTGTAACATCCCACATTGACCAACGGAGAGGGGGTGATGTGCCTTATATGTACATGTTCGCCTCCATTTAGCATGAGGCTTTTTGGGAGCTCATTGGCTTCAGACTCATGAGAACTTCGAAATTAAGCGAGTTGGGGCTAGAGCAATCCCATGATGTGTGACCCACTGGGAAGTTGCTCATGAGTTCTCAGAAATAAAACTCTGAGAGTAGAGAGGGGGCCCAAAGCAGACAATATCGAGCTACGGCGGAATTGATCCCGGGATGTGACATCATGAATGCTTTTGAATTCCCTTATGTTTGAATTTGATAAAATGTTGGGAATCTTCTGCTTAAAAAGGTTGTGTGGGTTGGAATGTCGTAGGGAGAAAGATAATACTCCTTCTGTCTCTACTCTACTTTTAACTCTAAGTGGTAACCAACCAAAGGGCCCCCCCACCACCATAGCAAAACCTATTCTATTATCTTTATACACATACTGCGTTAGTGGTTGCAACTCTTAACAACCAAGTTTGAAAACTTTAATCTTTGTTTAGCCTTTATTGTTCTTTTAGCAGACCAATTTTATTAATTTACAAGGCATAAAATGGACCTTGAAATGTAATGGAACTGAGCTTTTAGCTCTATTTGGTTTGCCATGCATTTAAAAAGTTTGAATGAAGACAAAAAACTGAAAGGAAGGAGCCTAAAAGAGGATAAGGAAGGCATCGTGAAGTTTCCGTTCCATTGACCTGCCGACTCTGTAATTAAGCCTATTGGTTGCTGTCCTTTGCGCGCAATCACCAAAATAGGTGATGTAATATTTTAATTGGGAGGTTAAGCATCGCATTAAGACAAAACATAAGCAATATAATATTAATTCTACGTATCATCATCATCGTTATCACTTGCTCTGTTTCTCTCACCCTTATTTCTGCAACTGCAACTAAATACATACTACTCTTGGATATGAAACATGTACCATAAAAATATTTAACATGATTGATTTCCATTAAACCAAAACATGATGATATTTGATCATGACCAGCTCCAGCTAGCTAATTCATTGATTAAAAGAAGATGAAGAAGAAGAAGATTGTTACAGAAAACTAGAGAAAAAAGAAGACGACAAATACAAGTAGAAGATTGGTGGTGGCAATAGTGTTGAAGAGGGTGGATGATCTTGTAATGAGGGGGGTTGCTGATGAAGCGTCTCCGTTTCCGCGAGCACCGTTTTTGTAGTAGAATGGGAAATAGGGAAGGATGGGGTCAGGAGGGGGATTGGCACCAAAACCATATCCACCACCACCATTGTAAGTGGATGGAGGAGGGTTGTAAGAGGAATATCCCGATCCAGTTGGGTTATTGTAGACGGTCGGAGGAGGCGGGTATGACCCGGTTTGAGTCAACGGCGGAGACGGCGTTGTGGTGGTCACCGGAGTAGTGCTGCCGGTGCCGGTAGGTGGAGGATAACATGGATATGCGCACGGATTATCTGAAGTTGTTGTGGCCGGGAAGCTGAGAAGAATGGAGACCAGGAAAAGGGTTGAGAATGAGAGAATAAGTGGGTTTATTATCTTAGCAGCCATGGTGATGGTGTGTTAAAAAGGGTTTGTGGATGGAAAGGTTTTGAGGAAATGTTGAAATGAATAAGAGAAAGGAGGTCGGAGAAGAAAACAAAGTAAACAAGTGGAGTGGAGTGGGTGAGTGGTGGTGGAGGTAAGCTGTTTGCTATTAGGAGGAGGAGGAGACTATGAAAGTCTTGTCACGACACGACTCAAGAAAAACAGAGAAAATAGAAAAGGATCCATATATACAAAAGGAAGGGAGCGTACAAAAGCAAGCTGTAACTAGTCTTAGTTTTAGCGGTATGATTAGAAGATGTCACACTCGTACATGAAACTTGGTTACTAGAATTGAATGTTGATAACAAAGGTTGGTTCGGAAATTTTAAGCGACAACAAATAGAAACCAAGTTTAGGGGTCCCAAGCCACAATAAATAGATACATACGAACTTTTTAGTTTTGCTTTTGTGACTTTACTAAAAACACATTTCAATATGAAAAGAAAAAGAAAAGATTAGATAAAAAGGTTGGATATGTGGTTTAGGCCCTTTGACAACAACACACGGCGCCTTCCACTTCTACTCTCACGAGTCGACGGCCAAGTCGAAGGCCACCAGACCAGTTGTTCCGGCGGAGGAGCCCGAAGTCACATGCTTTAAGGTCATGGGCCATTATGTCTTTCTCTCTCGAAGTGGAACGCGCGGCATGAGGAAATTGACTTGGGTCCCATACTAGTAAATTAGTTTGAAGGACTTAGCCCCACTTGGGGGAGCTTTATGCGGGGGGCGTACCTACTACCTACTACCTACTGTCTGTGAGAGAAGATAAGAGAAGAGAAGAGAGAGAAGAGAAGAGAAGGTTGTAGTCTAGACTCTAGCTTAGCTATTATTATTGTAATAATAATAATGCCCTACGACTACGAACAAGGCGGCCTTATATGACTAGATTATTTTATTTTTGTGGATAAATTATATGAAGATCCGAATTTGAAGCTCATTACTCATTATACTTGTGAACTGCTAAAATCGGGAATATATTTGTGAACTGCTTTGTTTGTACTGTTCTTTATTCTTTTGGGTGATTGGAATGAATTGAAACTAACCAAAAAAATTATTTTGGTAAATAGTTGAGTGACTTGGATGAAACCAGAGTAACCTTTTCTTGGTTCCAATCGTGGTTTTGGTCATCTCATGTTTGAAAGTAAATAAAGTAAATGTCAATAATAACCTTCTCTCTCCCAAATTCCATGGTATCGTATCATGTTCCCAGCTATTTACTTGAAACTTGTGTTAATTTGCTGTCTTGGATCTTGCCAAACTCTCCAAAGGCATCGATGGAGTTTCGAAAAGCTTAATTAATGAGTTATTAATCTTGGATTAATTATCATTAGACTATAATAAAAGGAGAAACATTCTTGAGGCATAAGCCTTGAATAACATTTAAATTATATTATTATTATAAACTAGCTAAGTCCTCTATTAAGTCACAAGTAGTGACTACATTGTATGATGTCTCAAAGATATCTTCATCCGAAATTGGTGCATGGTTTTCAATTTTATATTACCAAAGTCGAAGCACAAATGAAAGTTTGTTTGGGTGTGATGTGCGTATATGGCCATGTGGATTGTCAACTTAGTCACTAAATTCTACACCTAACCATGTTCTTATATATAAAAGCTGGTGAGAAATTTGAGAATGGAATCATGGAGAGATAGAGACAGGTGTTTAAATTGCATTTGAAAAGCGTCCAAAATGCGATCCATGACTTTCTTTGCTACTTACGCAAATTCAAGGCACAGCTGGATAAAAAGAAGTCAAAAGTAAGTGATGAGAGCTCGGTTGAGTGAATTTGACGAACAAGTTCTCGTGTAGCCCACACCACAACCCAACATAATAAACTGGATCGCTCACTAAATACCATTCCATTCGTTTGTATTAAATAACTAAAGGCTACCATTCTATTTCTTAAACCTTGATCATGCAAACGAATAGAAGGTAAAATAAGATGAAGCCTCCATTAGGTTCATTAACTGGTCATCAAATTCATTTAGTTTCATCAAGATTCTGTGCTTCCAAATAAAAAATAAAATGTTCACACATCTACACAACGTCAACATCTAAATAGAATCAAATAATAATATCATGATCATGATCTTGAGCTTGCACATGTTAATGGTTGAAGAAAATACATCCAAAGGTTTATAATCCCGAAATTGAATACAATATATAAGATAATTTTACTTACCAACCAAGATATATAATTATATGTAATGGAAAGGGTAACTTTCAACCAAGGTGGTTGGTGTGAGTGGTTCAGCACTCTCATTCCTTAAGAGAGGTCAGGGGTTCAATCCCTGCTCTCGTACGGAGTTACCACTTTGGCCAACACTTTACCCCTTACGGGCCGACCCGGTGTGAGTGGGGATTAGTCTGAGTTGTGGTTAAGGCTTAAAGATGCCACTCATAATTGGGGCCCACCCAGGACCACCTCATAGGTCAAAAAAAAAAAAAAAAAA